ATCAGCTCTGCCTTGCAGTTTTGTATTGGACTATCATCATATTTCACTCCATTACATGGTTTAATAGCATATCATTCACAAAACAGTCCACTGTTTATTAAGGAAATTGACACTGTGATGAAACTGACACTAGGGAGTAGCTAAATTTTCACGAATTAGCAGTATGAAGAAGCCTAACCTTTAGGAGTGTATGCATATTACTGGAGCCGGTCTACAGACATGTTTTCAGTCACATTTTCTAAATGTGGTGAAATGTTCATTCGTTGTACACTCAAAAGTGTTCATATTTTTCGGATTCTATGTGCTTTGGTATCATCTTCGTGATTTGACTTGTTTGTAACATCGTTGGCCTTGTGGAGTTGTCGCATACATGTTTTAACGTTCTTTCTTTTAAGGTGGATGGGTATTATAGGTAACTCATTTTCTCCATTCTTTAATTTTTAAGGTGCCTTTGTGGAGTGGAAGTTGCAATGGGAAAGAGGATTAGTGAACCTGAACCTAGTAGAAAAAGAAGAAAAGCAAGTAGCCACTCCTCGTTCTACTTGCACTTCAGCTGACATGTTTATTAGAGTAAATACCTTATAGTTGTAACTTGTTTATCTAATTTCTACTACTTTTAGACTACCTTATTCTACTTACACTAAGAATAACATTTTCAGTCGTGACTTTATTAAAGAGCATTGTACTACACATCCTGAATCTTCAGGCCTGAAAGATGTAAGAATTTATTTTTATGCATGAGAGAGGCCATGGTGTACACCAGTTAGTTACACACAAGCATGTTAGTAAGAGCACATCACTTTTCAGGCCACAAAGGTAGCATCGGATGCATGGAAGCTGATGGGTCCTGAGGAGAAGGTTAAGTACAGTACTCGTGCTCGTGATGTGTGGGATAAGTACCTGAGCAGATTAAACTCCCCTCTCCCCCTTCTCGAAGGTTTTCTTTATATGATGATGGAACTGGCAACTCTAAGAATGTTTGATGTCTTAAACTTCTTATGTTCAACTTTATGGATTTTCAGTTGATGTTTCTACTTCTCTATATGTGAATTTGTCGTCTTCTTTAGGTATGTTCTCTGTAATATCTATTGATGAGATTACTACGCTTAAGAGCCTGACATGCATTATGTTTATGTGATAGCACGAACACATGTGCTTAAAGCTTATGTTTCCATGTATCCGTTGGTTAATGTAATATCCCGTAACTCGAAATTTCTAGGAATAAGATAAGAAACTAAAAATAATCACTCTTGTAAAGAAAGGGAAAAATCTGGAAAATTCTTCTAAGTTTAAGAAGTGAGTTATATTCATTTTCAAACGGTAATAACTTCTAGCTCAGGATGAGTTAGGGGTAGTTCTTGATATGGTTGGAAAGCCCTTGGAAAGATCTCTTCAACGGCTCCGAGTTTGCACTATTTCGATATCGTATGAGGCAGATACTACGTTTCGAAAGTTTGGCTATTGAAGTAAGGAAAGTTCAATCCGAATTTAAGGAAGGGTATACTAGTCTGTTAACCCATTTATTTCCTATTTCGTTTTAGGAATTTATTTGGGGTAAAAACCAGTTTTAGTCAGATTAGAAGGTTTAACTTTACGCTTAGGGCTTGGAGAAAAGAGAAGAGAAGAAGGAAAAGGGAGAAAGATCAAGGTTTCGCCAAGAACACCATTGGATTTTGAGTGAAATTCGTCGGGAGTGATCCTTATCATGGTATGTGAGATCTTTTGTGTTGGGTTAATTCATCCGTACACAAATATTGCTTCAATTCAGTGGTTTTAGAATTGTTGACATTATTAGAAGTTAATCCTTGACGAATCTTGTCGAATCCCTATTTGGTTGAGTTGTTTGAATGTCCATTGATGTTGATTCGTAGTTTCTAATGTTGGTCTCGAGTTAGATCTGTTGGGTATTGAAGGTATTAATCACTTTTGTAAAGAAAGGAAAAATTAGGAAAATTCTTCTAAGTTTAAGAAGTGAGTTTTGATCATTTTTAAACAGCCATAATATCTAGCTCAGAATGAATTAGAGGTGATTCTTGATATGGTTGGAAAGCCCTTGAAAATATCTTTTCAACGACGCCAAGTTTGCACGATTTTGATTTCATACACTACAAGAAATTGCACGATTACACTGTTTTATATATATATATATATATAATGTTTTATATTAACCTCAATATTTCATGAGTTTAGAAAAGTCAAGATTAGTGTTTCTTCTTATCCTTTTTCGAGCTTAAGTTGTTGTTTAGAATTCCAACTCGTATACTCGTAC